CAGTGAACAACATTTTGGACACAAATGAACGTTTATTAAGAAAAAAGGGCATCGGATAAAAGGCAGAATAAATATGGGAAAGTAGCACGGATCGTTGCGGAATTATTGGCGGGGGTTTGAAAGCACGTAAGGTGTGAATATTCAAACAAATCAAAAAAATAAAAATGAAAAACGCTCAAAGACATTCGGGTGCATGTATTGCTCAGGCACAAGCTCCCGGGGCTACCTAGGCGATTCTGGGGTCGAAAATGGCACTGGTGATAGAAATAGAGATGGAAAAGGTATAGAAATAAATTAATATTATAAAAATCAGGTAATCAAGGCGAGAAATAATTAATGGTGAGGTGTGTAGGGCTGCAAAATCGAGCCGGCTAATCGCCAGGTGGCCCCGCGACGCGCAGGAGGGAAAAGGGGAAAGAGGAACGAAACGGAACAACAACCACAACACATTATTATATTTCAGAAATTATTCGCCGGGGCTAGGGTAAGTCGTATCGTAGCGGAATATATACACACAACCGCCTAGAAAAGCACCTGTTTCATTGAAGGAATCGAATAGGGGGAGAAAATCGGGTGTCAATGATTAATTTAGTTTTCTAGAAATCTGATAGTCACCAAAGATCAGAAATATTATCGAAAATTCCGGGATTTTGCATAGATTTCACTAGATTTATTTTTGCCTCATTTTGTAGTCCCTCTAGAAAAGTAGACGACGAATTACACTACGCCACAGTACCTTTGAGTACACCGAAACGTCTTTAGGTGTGATCGTAGTCTTCAAGCGCCAAAGGATTAATCTACCGCGAAAAATGTTGGAAAATTGTTTATTTTTGTTAATGCACTACGGTGTTTATAATTACGGTGCCTACAGTAATTTTGAGGTAACGACTTTTTTAAAGCGCACGTTCAGGGAGGGGCCGTGTACTCGTCCCAACGTGTACACCCTATGGACGTAGGAACCGCGCGCACTGCTTGCCCGTGCTGTGACAGGCCATTCCGCTCCTTTGCGGCGTGGGGCGCCCCTCAACCCCTCGCCAGGTTGCAGCTGTGGCTGACTGGTATCTATCCGCGCCTGCCGAGCGGGGGGCCCGGGTTCGACCCCCGTCCCTGAACGTGCCCTTTAAATGATACTTTTTTTAGTTTTAACACGATACTGTAAACAAGCCGCATTTAAGGTGTACTTTGAAAGATGCTGCGTCTATCTAACCTGCCAAGTATCTTTGGAGCCCTATTCTATTAGAGCCCGATTAGGACATGTGAACAAAAATCTTATCCCAGAATTTGCTGATATTACGGGTGTGAATTGTCAGCAAAATATGGTTTTAGGGCTAAACGGGGTGAGGATGAATATAACACTAATGAGAGGGTAGGTGGCAGGAAGGGCAAACATACACACACCTGCCATCCACAGGCTTCAGCCGAAAGAGAGAGGCCGAGATGCCCTCATCCCCTCCCGGAAATATGAGCACCAAATAGGGATCGCAAAAAAGCAAGAAGAGGCAGGGACACCGGCAACGACGACCACGACAACACGTCTTTTTTACGGAATTTTCGGAATTGAACGCCGGAGAACGAGGGCAAAAAGTGGGGCGCCTTTGAATCGACGCCAGATTGAATGCCGGGAAAATGGGGGCCCGCCTTAAAAAGTGCTCCAAAAGATTGAGAAATTGAAAATTTGAGGTATGCCTTAGAAGGTTCCTTTCTTATCCTTCTTCTCGTAGAAAATGTCTTAAAATTGGACTACGGTGATAGTAGCAAAAAGCAGCCGGCGCGGTTCGAAGTAATTTTGCTAATTGAAGGGCCAATCCTTGGTGATGAAGCCGGAAATTTTGAATTTGTTACAACGCATTATTGCAGTTTTGAGCTATCGGAGCGCTTTCTAGGCAGACAAAGAATACGGTAGGGGATTGTATACGGTAAATACAGTGTTTTAACATCAATAATTAGCCCTGGGCAAAAGCATTGGCCGACTGGAAAAACGAGCCGAGCCCGCTGAGCAGCCCACCGCCGCCACGACGTTTGAAGTCGGAGGCTTCGCTCTGGAAATCGTGATTAGGCATTAATGGAAGGTCAAGAATTCTGATTTATACGACATCAAATCATCCCTACATGATACACAAACAGACCTGGAATCGCTCTTCCTGGAGTTTCTCGAATTTCTGGCACTTCTTGTCCTTGAAGATGTTGGGGATCTGGAAAATTCTTCCTCAAAAATCCAAGATTAATGATTGCAAATGGACTATGACGAGTTGAATTGAGGAGTACTTAATCATAAACTTTATCTGCTAAAAACCAACATCATTTGCCGTAGTGGCCGCCTCGAAAAGGAGGTTCGTCTTCACCTTGGCACCCTCGATTTCATAGTCAACAACTGTAAAAGTAATTTTTTGGGGTGGATTGTGCCTGCACGTGCTTTAAAAGGATCAAAGCTCTGAAAGCCTACCTCCATGCTGGCAAGCCAACAACCTGTCCGGGTCGCGCTTGCTCACCCAGTATTCGAGCAGTTCGGAGTTGGTGGGGGTGTAACTGCCTTGCTGTAACACGATTATCATGAGGAGAAGGACTGAAAGTCCAAGGTAGATGCCTAACAAGGAGATGGTCTCAGCTCGACACCGAATTTCGTTTTAAAAATTTGCGCACTGATAGAGCTCGACGAGACGAATCGATTGGTGTGACTTTCAGCTGCCCATACTAAAAAATAGCCGAGTTATAAGCATTTTAGTTTTTGCATACATTTTGCATCTTTTTCCGCCCTACCTTCATAAGCCCTCGCCCTTCCCCCATCACCGTGGCCTCGTGGCCTAGTGGCGTAGTCGGCGGAGTATGGGGAATCTATTGAAGGTTCGAACCCGCTCACGATTTTTATTTTTTGCTTTTTGGCACAAATGCTGCCATTGACGTTCTGAAGGCCTGGAATCAGTTCGTATTCCTTATTTTAACCCTTGCAAGGCGCAGTGACCATAAAACATCTTTTTTCAGAAATTGGATTTTTGACCCCAAGGGGCATTAACTGTGCCAGCAACAAAAATAAAAATTTAAAATAGAAAAAAAAGTTAAGAATCAATATAACAGACGGTGAATGCGTTGTGTGTCAGCAAGCATTTTTCATTGTGGCAATTTTTTTTAAATTGTTGTCCACAGGTTGTGCATAAGTCCAATGTTAAGTTCGAAAATTTTTGATGATGAGGTATTGTGGGCACTGCGCCTTGCAAGGGTTAAAATAAGGAATACGAACTGATTCCAGGCCTTCAGAACGCCAATGGCAGCATTTGTGCCAAAAAGCAAAAAATAAAAATCGTGAGCGGGTTCGAACCTTCAATTGATTCCCCATACGCCGCCGACTACGCCACTAGGCCACGAGGCCACGGTGATGGGGGAAGGGCGAGGGCTTATGAAGGTAGGGCGGAAAAAGATGCAAAATGTATGCAAAAACTAAAATGCTTATAACTCGGCTATTTTTTAGTATGGGCAGCTGAAAGTTACACCAATCGATTCGTCTCGTCGAGCTCTATCAGTGTGCAAATTTTTAAAACGAAATTCGGTGTCGAGCTGAGACCATCTCCTTGTAAGCCTAAGACAGCCAACGCACGAACGGCACTAACACAAAAAACTCCGCTGATGCAGGCCTCAAACACACGAACAAAACTTCGTCCACCCACAGTTTGCACAGGGGTAAGCGGAAGCCTAAGCCTAAGCCTAAAACCCAAGCCTAAGCCTAAGCCTAACCTAAGCCTAAGCCTAAGCCTAAGTCTAAGCCTAACCCAAACCTAAGCCTAAGCCTAAAACCCAAGCCTAAGCCTAAGCCTAGTCTAAGCTTAAGCCTAAGCCTAAGTCTAAGCCTAACCTAAACCTAAGCCTAAGCCTAAAACCCAAGCCTAGGCCTAAGCCTAACCTAAGCCTAAGCCTAAAACCCAAGTCTAAGCCTAAGCCTAATCCAAGCCAAGCCTAAGCCTTTCAACCCCTATTAACTTACATCCAGCGAGTTAGCAGCGAGCCATTCAGCGATGATGGCCAGCTTGAACGCCTTGCCAAGTAGGGGATTGTCGATTTGCGCAAAGAATTCCTTCTCCAACTAAAACACAGGGGATGGAATTAATGTTTTTAGCCTGAGCGATACCTCTGGTCTTGTCGGGCCTCGCTCATAGAATTTCATCCAAACATCGACGGCGCCCTCCTTCTGCCAATAGTCCTTTTGCCAGACGGATCTGAAGTTAGAGGTAGATGAAAAAAGAGCTTTTAGAATTTTATAAAAATTATTTTCATAGAAATTACTTGGTAAACGTGGAGCACATGGTGAAGTTGGGGTCTTCTGGGGGCGGGCACATCCGGGTAGTCAATCGATATGTACGCTCCGCAGTCGCTCGGCACAGGTTCCCATCAGTGTTTTCGAGGAGTTTCAACTTTCTGGATGTTTTTTTTTTGGTTGGGTTGAGGTGCTGAATTTAATCTACCTCGACGGCTTGCACCAATCGCAATAATAGCATTCACGGCCACACGTCGCCACGTCCATGCAGCGCAACTTGCCGATCGGTTGAATCGACACATCGAGCTTCATTGCCAGTTTGTTGATGTGGATACCTAAAAAAATTCGGTGCAGATAAGGCAGAATAGTAGTATGATGCGAATTTTTTTAAACGCGTTTTGTAAAGTTCAACAAATACAAAGTTTACTGAGTTCTAGAAAGCCTGCATCATAAATTTCTCCCGTAACACCCCCTTTGAAATCTGATACCTGGCGGCAATGTGACGTCGATGCTCATGTCGAAGCAGTCCGGCCACGTCAAATGTACAGTACCGTCCCCCTGAAATTATTAGTTACAACTCAATAAAGCTTCATCCTCTAGTTGTAAGATACTGTATTCCGGTCGAAAAATAGCTCACATCTCGCTGGGAGGGGTGGCTGAATTGCGGGTTGGCTAGCTTTATCGGGGCCACACACTCGTGCCCGCTCACCTCCTGAACGTTTAAAATAAAGCTATAAAAAAACTATATTAAGATTATCATCACATATAGATTATTTATAGAACTACGAAAATTAGCATATTTTTCCAAACCTTGCAACAGGGCGCCGTTCGAGCGTCTTTCAGCCTGGCGATGAACAGATTTTTGCTGATGACGGCCTGAAAAGGGTTAAATAAAAATTGTATAAAAATTTAAATGCTTATATATGCGATTCTTGCCCACTAGAGCGTTAAAAAGAACATATAACACCCTCTAGAATTTTCTAATCCACCTCAAAGCTCCTCGGCCCCAGCTGCCGCACCGACCCGGTCCCGATCGGAACGTCCTTGTCGTTGTAGATGACGGTATTTCCGGTTTTATCAGCAACTACCTAAACTTATGAAGATTATATGCATCAATTATTACATTAAGACAATTTTTATAGTATTAAAAAGAATTTTAAAAACAGCACCTTTCCGACCGACTTCCCCTGAGCATCGTAGCACTGCGAGATGCCGGGCGTTTCAGCTTAAACCCGATGATAAAATAGAGGTAAATTTTTGGTGGAAATGCAGATCTATCAGAATGTAATACCTGTACAGTGATACTTTTCGCTTCTTCTGCCAAAGAGACTCTGTGCAAACTCTCCGACCGGTCCGACGTCACCCGCCGATAGCGTCGCGTCAGTTTTCTTGCCATTTTGTGCGATCGTGTAGGCGTAGGTGCCTTGTTTTCCTTTTTCCTGGAATGTAATGTGATGTTATAATTGATATTATATAGCCTAAGCATTGCGAAACATGCAAATCAATAAAATATAGATCAATAACGTTAAATTCGTGGCTGCTAGTTGATCGATCTAATCTTATCTTTATTCATTCTTTTGACCATTTTAAATTCCGCTATTTCATGCGGAAACTAAATCTTTTGGTATATTTAAGGCGCTCTATCGAATGACGCTAAAAGAAATTTTGTCGTATTGAAAATATCAAAAACTATTTTTTCAATAACATCATTTCAACGTTGTTTATATTTGTGCCCAAACTATTCTGTAATACGAGATTTCGGGACGTAATTTAAAGGCTTAGGATATTTGTTATGCTTTGCCTATCCGAAAAACTCACCAAATCCTTAAACGCCACAGTACCATCCCCCGTATGATTGTCATGGTGCGCGGGGTCGACTTTAAAGTTGAACCGATCGTTCCGCGCCTCGAATTCGGTGCCCTAAAAGAGGTCCAGAAAGAAGCCTCGAATGGAACCTGAACGGTCTTCAGATCCCCCTTTGCAATCGTGTCCAACTCGTATTTTCCGTCGGCCTTCAGAAGCGCGTGCTTCCCCTCGTCGTCATCTTTTTGGCGTAGTTGGGCCCTGGGAATTTTGCAGATATATTCAATGATGGCAGTGAATTTGGACACCGTTTTACGGCGTCGCGCCTGCAAAATTTTTAGGGAATCCGGCTCTAAAGCTACGTACTTATGCCCATCCGCTGTGGCGATCCCTCCCTTGTCGCCAATCTTTTGAACCTGAGCACGATGTCCGTCGGAAGTCTCGGCAGCGGCCACGTTTCCCGAAGCCGACGCCGATAAGTCCTAAAAATTGCTTGAAAAGCGCTAAATTTTAAAGTCTGATACCTTATTATTGTTGAGAAGCTGCAGGATTACTTTCTCCTTGTTCGAGGCATCGAGAGAAACCTGGAAAATGTGATTCTCTAGGGACTGTGACATATAATATGAACAAGGTCAATAAAAAATTCAGAGTTAGGGCCCTCAGGTTTGAAATAATATATAAAAGGAGTTTACAACACCTGAAAGGCTTAAAAGAGTCGTTGTCGTGCGATCAACACGTCCGATCTCGAAAAACCAGCTTGAGAAAGTGGCTGCTGTCAAAGGTCACACCCTTCAGCTGAAGGGGGGAGGAGAGGAAGATCCGGTCAAAAAGCGAAGCCTGGGTGGAAGACGCTCACTCAGGGCACTGTCGAGAAAACGGGAATCACGGGAGATGACAAATCGACAGACTGTCGAAAGAAGAGAGAGCGAGAGAAAGCGATAAAGAGAGAGAGATAGAGCGAGAGAGACAATAGATACACAAGACAAGGCGGCTGATGATGATGCTCACAACGGGGAAATGAGCAATGAATCGATCCGTTCCGCTTGGCTACTTTCTACCGCGTCGGATGGCAATAGGTGGAAATTGGTGGAGACGGGAGGGTGGAAAAAACATTAAAGGGGACCGGGTACATTTTTTTGATTATTAGAATGCCGAAGCTTCATTTCGCCGAAATCTTAATACACTATAACTTCTGTTTTCGGCATGTTTCTTAGGAACAAATCGAAAAAATAAAAATGCGCCGTAAAGAAAAAAGACAAAATGGTTTTCAAAATTTTCGATTTACCGTAGCACATCTATCAAAGGTAGCCATAGAAACTAAGGCATAGCGTTTTTGACCCACCCTCTGCACCTCCTGCTGCTTTTTATCAAGCCAAGCCGTATCGACATCGATGTGCTTCCGCTTCTCGTTCAGCGATACGTGATTTGGGACCAACGCTTGGCCCAAGGATACCTGGAATTATCAGAATTAGCATGTGATCTCTTTGAAAAGGATACCCAGACTTTGCAACAAGTTTTTGGGTTTCAATTCTCGTTAAAGGGACTAGGAAGGCAAAAAGCGAACTTTTTTGACTGGGTCTAGCCTTGCGTGAGCGCGAAATGACACTTGTTGAAGTCACATAAGCTTAAGAATAAGTCTATTTTTAAGTCACAGTGCCAGTCTAAAATTAAGCTTAAGTCTAAGCAAAAAACCTAAGCCTAAGCCTAAGCCTAACCCTCACGTTCACGCCTGGGCACAAAATGTAAAAGTCCATAAGAAACCTGTATTATTGTAGCGAGGAGGGCGAGCTCCCGCGGGCGCATGGCTGAGATGTGATTTGAAAGGGGTGAGCAAGAGCCGTGCGGTAGAGACTGATCTGAAAAGGGGACAAGAAACTAGCTTCTCCTCGACCCATCATCAACCAGACACCTCAACCCCCGCCCTCCTTCTTCCCTCTCTGATTCCAACATCATCATATGTTTTTTCCGAGGTGATACTCCCCTCGAGATGAGCTCTACCCTGGAGCTACAGCAAAGAGAGAGAGAGGAGAGAGAGCGAGAGAGAGGAGAGAGAGCGAGAGAGACACCGAGAGAGTGAGAGGTGATTCACTGCTTCATTTTGTTCAAAACTGACGTGAGTTCCGGTGTTTGGGAGCAAAAGCGAGGTAGGTTACTGGAAAGCACTACTTTGACTACTCGGCGGTTTTTAGAGCAATCTGTACACCATAGTTCCGCAATAAAATCGCTAGTTGTCCCTTGCTAGTCCCTTTCAAATCGTGACGCATCAGCCGTTCGTCGCTGCAAGCTTTGTTATGTGGCCTGATCTCGCGCTCGGTCCTCGAATAATTATTACTAATACATTGGAGCCGAGTCATTGAGGACGAATTGCTGTTGAGGGGGGAGTGGCCGATATCCATATTCATGCCTGTTGAATACTTCGTGTGTCGAGGGGGAGGGGAGATGGCTACGAATCACGGCTATTTCCGGAAGTTTACATCTAGTGGCTTTGGGGTGGGGCGACGGAGATCAGGACCAAATCTAAGCGACTAAGTATAGCCTAAGTCTAACTGTAAAGTGTTTTTACTCAAGTTGGATTTTCGATTCGGGACCAAGTGCGTCTTGGGCAGAATTTTTCGTTGATTCCGAACCCGTTTTCGAAATTTGCTGCGGACTTTTCTTTAAAGAGTCATTTTTGGTGGAAATTAAGCCTAAAAAAAACCAAAAATTCGGATTCTCGCCCACTATTCCTTCCTTGGTTAGATGGTTCCCGGGTGCCCTGAAGTACGCTCTCACAGCCCGCAGCCTAGTTGGCACCATGGTGCACTGGCAAAGTGCTCGCTTGCCAAGCGGTTCGACCCCCGTCCCGCATCACTGCTTTTGCTTTTTGCATCCCATATCGAATTTTTTTATCGAAAAAGCTTGTTTTGGCATTAAGATGTCTGTGTAGCCAATTTCTAGTCAATTTAGACGTTGGAGTTGATCAGGAAAATCGAAAACGATAACGGCTCCTTGATTTTGGTGAAAAACACTACCATAATTGCTATAACGTTCAAAATAAAAGCCCGCAGCAAATTTGGAAAACGGTTTCGGACTTAGCAAAAAATTCTACACAAGATGCATTTCGTCCCGAATCGAAACTCCAACTTGAGTAAAAGCACTTTACAGTAAGCCTACCCTAAGCCTAAGCCCGAGCCTAAGCCTGAAGGCAAGCGAAACTTAAGCTTAAGTTCGTGCATCGTTTCCTAAGCTTTAATCCGTTACTCTAAAATCCTCGCACTTTCCGCCCTGGCTCTAGTGCCTTAACGGGGGGGGAGGCGATTTGCAGGCGTAACAAAGGACAAATTTCGTTAAGCCTCCCCCCCGCTAACGAACCAGCTCCCGGTCTCTTCGATCCAGACTCTTGTTTTCCGCTTCCAACCACTCCATTCCCATGTCCCCCTATAAAAATACGTCACCATAAAAAACACCCCCCCCCCAGGTCTACCGTACCCGTTCCACCACCCCACGTACGCTCCCATTCCATGGCAAATCGTCGTGGGACCCGCAGCGGTATAATTTCACTCCAAAATTCCCCATAACTCAATTAGGCGGCCCTAGGAATTGGTCATCCAACCTAAAGGTCTCCCCCATCCCATTGATTATCATAAATTTTTCAGTTGCGTCTCGGCCGGACGCCCGTCCGTGTTTCCGCCCATTCACAATACTCTTTTTCCAGCCTTTTTCTGGGGGTTTTGTTCCGGAATGTTTCGTTGAAACATTCGAGACTCGTTCCTCTGTTTTGAACAGAGGACGCGGAACGTCTGTGTTTCTGACAGATCCATGGTTTTAGGGCTTAGATGGTGTTGCATTTCGGATCATCCTGGTGATTCAAAAAGTGAATGATGGTTTTTGGCTGGCAAATTTCCTCAAGAATCTCTGCTTGCTTTCCCGACACTTTCAGCCACGCACTCTCCACTGTAAAGATACTTTAATGCGAATTATTTTTTTGTCTTTTACTTCCTCTAACTGAAAAACACCGGAAAGATGAAAAGATGACGCCACCCCCTAAAAATACCCATCCACCCTCTCCTCAGCCCTCAAAGAACAGTTTTGTTTTTTCGGGTTTAACACGCGGGTGGAACAACATCAGTTTCCGGAAGACAGACGGCACACTCACGCATCAACACCCCGCCACAATGGGGCACAATTTAGGGGCCAAGTCCCCCGCAACGCGAGCCTGACACTGATACCCCTCGATCAGATGTTGGGGAGCTCGAGCTCATTTTTCACGTTCTATTCTTCTAAATTTTCAGGCTCCAAAAAGGGTTCTTTGAAGTTATCTCGTGCCTATACCTCCCGCTCGAAAATTACCCCACCCCCGGGCTTTTGGCCGCAATTTTCCGGTCTTTTCCAGTTGACGCCCACCCCGGAATGGAAGTTCACTTTTCCGGAATTGCCTATTAACTTTTTCGAAGCCCTGAGGGGTGACTTGCAGCTCACATTTTTCTTTCCTTTTTCCTGCACGTAAAAAATGACTAATTCCATCCCATTTGACTACAAATCTGCGAGACGATCACTGATCGTCTGAAATCCGCTATTTACTGCTATCACCACCCATTTGCTCCCTGAATAATGTTCCACCGCTTGCCAAATTCCATTAGAAGTCAACCGCTTTCTGGGCGAGTGGGGGCTTTTAACTTGTGGCCCAGGGATTAGGGGCCGCCAAATCGTAAAGTGGGCCTTTTTTGCTTGGCTCAGTCATATTCAGTCATCGGAATTTTTAGAATTTAAATAAAACGAAAAGCTATCTGAAATGGCATGAAAAGAGCAATCAATAAAATTCTCAGAAATTTATAATTTTCTAATTCCTCCATTTTATATAATTTCTATAAATTTCCTCTATTTAATTTTTGTAAGATTTAAAGCAATGTTCATGTAAAAATATACCAATTTCAGCAATGAAATTCACGTTGGTGCTCACCATCTTGGTCTCGATGATTGCCATGGCGTTTGGGGCTTCACTTCGGGAAAAGTGTGTAGTCAATAGAGGTTTTTAAGAGAAAATATACGTTATATATTTTAAGAGAAAATATATAAGATTAATATGTTACCATAATTTAAAACAAACCTTTTACAAAATTCGGCTGATTGCGCTAACTATAAACTACAAAATATAGCCTCGGCGTTCCTTAAGAAAGTCTCAATTTTTAGGCGTTTTGCCCCCGACTTTTACAACTTGCTCGCCAAGTACCAACGGACGAATCGCTTCAACGGGCGGTAAGCATAAAGTTTGAATTTTTTAGATTTTCCCAGCTTAAATATTAATAAAGATTTGTATGGTTCTGAGCCAGAATTTCTTTTAGATTCGACAAGCGCTACTACAACAGCCAGCCCGAGGAATATGGATTTTAAGTGGCCCTGTGGACACCCTGTGAAAATTAAGATCGACTTGATTTTTTGGCGTGCAATAAACCGAATACATGTTTTTGAAGACGTTTTCTAAACACTTACAATTTTATTTTTAAGAAAAAAAACAATTTTGAAGACACTCCATGACGTTTTTTTTCAATTTTCCGCATCTCATTCGGGATTCCATGTGATATTCAGGCGTCTAGGGGGGTGAGGGGCGTCACATTCTCTTGAGAAAATATATTCTGGCTTCAATTTGCTAAACAGCGAGCAAAGAAAATCAATAAAAAAAAAGAAAGACAAAAGTAAAAATAGAAAAAACAAAATTACCTAGGGCAGAAACTAACCTTTCCTACTATAGAATTTTAGATTTTAAGACTTTGGATAGGTTTCCCCTACTGATTTTCGATCCGCAGATCATATTAAAGGTATGGACAAGGTATATGCCTATGGATTCGCTATGTCGTCGCAGTCGCGCGCGCCACAGAAAACGCGCACGTGCAGTAGCGGTCAAAAAGATGTCCCCTCGGGAAATCGTTTGGTGTTCGAAAACCACAGGCCCAAATTATATGAAATTTTGCCTCTAGGGCAATTTTGATACGGAGAATCCGATTACCACGAAATCGGCTAAAAATTGGATTTTACGCGTCAAAATTGGATTTTTTTTAAATCGATAAAATTAACTTGTTTCTGAGGGATTTTCGAGTTTCACAGATGTGTCCATCGTGTTCGCAAGGGTCGAAAACCTATTTTGCACATGTTTTAAAACATGTATCTCTTGGAGGCTTGAGGCTATGAGGCCGAGAAGTTGCCGCCGCGGGGCGATTTCCTGGCCCTCGTAGGCCTATCCAAGGGATTTTGACCCGCGCGACAGCAACTTCCGGCCGTCCGTATGGTCAGGCACAGGCAGCAAACTTGACGTAAAATAACGGAATAGTGGTTTTCGACCCTTGCGAACACAATGGACACATTTTGAAACCCGAAAATCCCTCAGAAAAAAGTTCATTTTACCGATTTAAAAAAAAATCCAGTTTTGACCATTAAATTCAATTTTCAATAGATTTCAATGTTGCTATCGGATTACCCGCAACCGAATTGACCTATTCACGAAGTTTCATAAAATTTGCGGCTGTGTTTTTCGAGCACCAAACGATCTCCCGAGGGGACATCTTTATGACCGCTACTGTATTTGGGCATCTGGCTAGCTTTAAGAACCCAACCGAGAGAAGGGGTCGGTTCTCGTCGTTAGCACTCTTTAACATATCAAACATCTCATCCAGTTACGACAGCAAAATCCGGTGCCAAGATGGCATCTGGATGAGCAACAGATGGCCCCCTTGGATAGCCACCGGGCATTTATTGCGCTTGCCCCCTCGTGTCCAGCCATAAACTATCGGATGTCTTGGAACGCTGCAGATCTGTACCCTACCTTCGGTCATTTATCGATTTTTCCGCGGCTTCTACACCTGACAGGGTCGAAAATCGGCTGTGCGTATGCAGATCGGCCTTTTTTACAAAGAGGCTTTTGAATTTCGAAACACCGGAGGCTATCGCGCCATCGGCCCGCCAAAACATATCTGACACGCCATTTTCTGCATATCACCGAGAGGTGCCCGTTCGGTTGAAAAATTTAGAAAAATTCTTTGGTATTTTACTGAGGAGTAGCGTTGCATTTTACAAATTGATTAGATGGTTTCCACTTACTGCCGTTTTTGTATATTTGGAATTGTATATTTGGAACGCGTCAAATCCGGATCATATCTAGTACAAAAATTATGATAAAACGATTTTTCTAGACTAAGCCCATCCCAGGCCAATCATATGCCAAATCTTAAGCCTATTCAAAAAAACCCCTTTCAGTGGGCCAGCCTTCCTTTTGTGACGGTTTGTTGGACAAATACGGAAGGGGCTTTCCTCCGTTCCTCTCGTCCACTCACTCGAAACCTTGCCAAGTGGCCCCAGCCAATCCCAATCGGTCTTCCACAGTCTTCGGCCGTACTTTTCGGATCTCATGTTCCTTTCGCGTTTCTTGTCCTCCAAATTTAGCCATCGGCATGGTTATAAAAGAATTTCCGGGCCAACTAGCTCAAAAATAAGCTGATGTTTTAGCAAAAAAATCCTAAAACTCATTCCTAGCTTCTAAAAAGGGTCTTCTATAGAATCCTCCCTGACTTTCCGGCCGCAAACACTGCACAAAACGAGTTCCCAACCTCGTTGTAGGAGGTTTTGGAGCAGTTTGAAGGGGGGGGGACTGTCTACCCACAGGGCGCTATTCAAGGTCTTTTCCTAGGTGAGTCACGCGGATACTGCTTTTTGCTTGCGTTTCCGTTTGTTGCGTCGCTCTCTCTCTCTCTCTCACTCTCTCTCACTCTCCTCCCTAGCTTGCCCTCTAAATAAATGTGTCATCGGTTGAACAGTCAGCTTCTGATTCCGTGGCATGAGACACTGATTCCCCCGGCATTAGGCTTTCTATAAATTCTTTAATTTTTTAGAACTCTCTGATTTTATTTCGAGTTTTCTGAAAGCTTCGCTTCGATGTAAATGCTTAAATCAACTGTAGATGAGAACGGCCCTCCTTCTGCTCGTTGTACTCCTTGCCGTCGCGCCCGCCCAGGCAGACTGGTGGGACAGCGCGAATGACAAGATTGCCAACGCGTTCACAAGTGTAAGCAGTGTTTAATACTACGAGTGTTAATCATAGCTCAAAATCAATTAAATTAGAATACATCCCAAATTCAGTTGGGCGAGTGGTGGCGTGGCGAAGCTGCGCCCACGATTCGCGAGAAGTTCGACGAGGCCAAGGCGACGGCCAAGGATCCCGAATTCCACAAACGATATATGACCTGGATCAAGGAGGTTAGCCTTTGAAAGAATTCCAAAACAAAGCAAATTCCGTCAGAAAGCTGTGGCGGCAAAGGAATTTGCGGAAGCCGAAGTGGTGCCCCACCTAAAGGACATCTATCGAGCTGGGAAGAGCGCGATCACGGATGTTCGTTTTTAGACATTTTTAAGGGGCAAGACTATGGATATTTGGGCTATGGATATCCGTATATAGAGTGATGCGCAACGCCACGCTATGCTTGGCGTAAACAACCTAATGCGTACGCAGCACACCTCTGTTTTCAACGTAAATTTTGATGCCACACAACGCGCATGTAACATACGTACGCAACGCGACGCACTGTGTACCCCAGGTAGTTTGTAAACAACGTACGCAAAGCGACGCGTACGAAACGCACCGCCGCGTGATGTTTACGCATCGCACGCGGCGCGTACCTATAAATTTCGTACGCTCCGCCACGTGCCCGCATCGCTCCGCAGCGCATGCGCAATTTTTTTTAACTTTCTAAACCTAAAGCTTACTTACTTTGAACCTTAATGCTATTTATTTAACCATAAGAATACAGTGATCCAATTTTTTAGATCCAAAAAGAAGATGGCGTGAAAGTTGATCAGACTCCATAAAACCAAAAACAACGCCTCTTCCCTAACAACATCTTGCCAGCTTTAATTGCTCCTTGGCCTTCATGTGATAAATTATTTTCTTCAGTATTTTTTTGTTTTTACAGTATTTTCCACATTTTCCGGGTCCATGAGTTCCCTAAAAACGGATGACGCGTCAGCAAAAGTCACCCCAAAATTTGTTACACCGTGGACCGGTCCGTTTTTAGGGCGACAAGATCGACTTGGTGGGGCACAGACAGTTCGTCCAATTCAATGCCCCCCGAAATTGGCCGAGTAGACGCCGAGTTTTTCTGTATAAAGCTGTATCGAATACCGGGGGCATTAGAAGCCAATTCTTCTGAAACACTCCCCCTGATAATGCAGCTGCTCCGGATTCTAATAACTGTTTGTCTACTCGGTTGTGCGATCGCTGTGCCGATTCTACAGGGTGTATCAAAAAAAAAGTTCCGAAGTTTGTCCCCAATTATCTCGAGAAGGAAAAATATTTCACCGAGCGTTACCATGCCAGAATGCTTAAATATGCTGGGTATGAAGATTTAACACAACTTGATTTTTTCGATTTTCGGCGACGTACCTATACAAATGACACCCGAAAACTGTGCGTTCCGGCAAAACTTCGTTTGCATTTTTCAGGATTGCTGGTGGTCGAACACTTCCAATTTTTACAATGTAGATACCTAAGGACTGCCCCTACGCACAGCCGGGATTTTGGAATTTTCGAAGGTCTGGATGGCAAGTTATAGCGTGCTCAAATTTAGTATGGAGAAATTTCGTAAATGTCGAATATTAAAAAAACTTATCGCGGGAACCTCAAAATAAGTTGTTCTGGAATACCTACAAGCTCTGTACAATCGCACAAACACTTCAAAGAATTTTTTTAGATTAACGAATTTTCAAGTTTTTCAACGACCCCCTGGTCATGGATTTTTTCGAGGTCCCGAAACTGAACTTTGGAAAAATATTTCTAGAATTGCAGATATAATTTGGGTGTTTGCTTTGCTTAGTTGGGTAGGACTGGCGTCCATCTATCATGTACACAATTTCTAGCTACCGTACCCCTTCGGAAGGGTGCCTTTTAGCGCCTCTAAAACGGTTGGTTCGTGCTATTTCGCAGATCTTCGTGCCAGTTTATAAAATTCAATTGAGAGGCTAGAATTATTGTCATAATTTTATTTAATTCTACTTAATGGGCGCATGCTAAGATTATCGTTACAAATTGATTGGGCTATCCGATCTTTCAAAAGAAATTCATGAAAAGTCCAAATATACCCGAATTCGAGGCGATGTAAAAAAAATTCTCGAGGCTTTAGTAGCCTCGACTTTTTTGGCATAAACTCAGCTTGGGTAGTCAACTAGAACCTATGCAAATACAAATCCTTTTCATGGCAAACGAATTTAGTAGAGCGCCCCAAAGTCGACTTTTCAAAAACGTTATTTTCGGGTTTTAAATCAAAATTAGCCATTAACTTCAGCCAGATCGTTCCAGAATTTTGCTCTCATGCACAGTTCGATACGTGCTTTAATTGTATCCACCAAACCCCGGTGCCTTTTTCATTTTCAAAAAGTCGATTTTCGGCCCGGGGCCTCGGGTCCAAAATCGGGCCCCGAGGGGGGGTTTTCCTCTTTCCCTTATAACTTTGTCATTTGCCACAGGAATCAAGTAATTTTTTGTAGGTGCTCTTACAATCACCCAAAGAACAGTCTAGAATCGAAAAACCGTCACTTTATGGAATTTTGTCTTGGCATGCTAAAACGTGCTCCAGGCGGGTTACTGTAAAAAAACAGAAAATCGCCGTTTTCTCGTTCTTTTCACCATAGAAACGTTTCAATCTTTCAGCAAAACAAATAATATTAGTTTTTAGTCCGTTGCATCAAAAGATTTAGAAATTTCCGTGGCTAAATTCAAAAATAGGTTTTTTGCATATTTTAAGAAGGTGTATGGCTAGAACTCGACGATCTTTGGCCAATAGGTGACGCTTACTGGTGTTTACCAATGATAAAATTTTAAGCAAAATCGCAGCTTACAATAAAAAGAAAAACGCGAAAAACGAAAACTACAGTATCCCTCTGGGGCACGTTTTAGCAAGCAATATTAAAATACCATAGAATCAGGTAAAATTTGGTGTTGTGCTAAAGATTATCATTCGGAGACACCATCTACAAAAGATCAGCCATGGGCAGCGTATTTGAAGAGAGTTGCGAATTAAAAAGTAAAAATAAGCAAAATAGGGAAATTTGTTTTGCCTGTAAAAAAAGAACTAAACCTTCAAAATTTTTAAGACTTTGCTATGATTTTTCTACAAATGTCAACTATTTTTAGGCCAAAAATCAGAATTTTCCCACCACCCGTTCAAGAACGCACATTTTTCGGTCGTAACCAGCGTCAATAGTACAGTTGCGTACTCAGAAATCGAAAAAATCAAGTTGTGTTAAATCTTCATACCCAGCATATTTAAGCATTCTGGCATGGTAACGCACGGTGAAATATTTTTCCTTCTCGAGATAATTGGGGACAAACTTCGGAACTTTTTTTTGATACACCCTGTAGAGGGTCGATCCGCTCGAGATGGGTAAGTTGTACGAAGCCGTGTTTTTAAAAAGTTTTTTTTTTTGACAATTCTTGGACCCAAAAATGCTAAAGTTTCCTGGAAAAGTACTAAAAAAATGGTAAGAGTTGACTACTTCACCCCCCCCCCCCCCACACCCGACGGTCTCAAAGTTGTCGGTATTTTCGCTTATTTTGTCGGGATTTTTGCAAGGCCATTCGATAGAGCGTCGAAAAATACACTAAGAGTTTCAATTTGAGCCTGCAATAATGTAAAATAAAAAAGTTATAGCCAAAAACTTCCGGCTGGGGGGGGAGGGGTAAAGTAAACCGTAGCCAAAAAAATTTTTCGAAAGAAAAACGCGACTTTTGCCCAAAAGGGATGAAATTTGCCCTTTTTCGAAATTTCGCAAATTGTTTGCACTGGAACTTTAGCTATATTTGATCGAAACGCTTTCAAAATATTTTGTATTAAATAACCAGGCAAGTCTTGGGAAATAAGAAGAAAACGCAGGTCAATCATTGTCCTAAGCCTAACAGGGAAGGTTGTTTGGGTCAGGTGTCAAATCGACTTGAAACTTTGCCAGTGGATAGAAAATCAAAAATAAAGTGGAGTTTCTTAATCTCATTTTTTGCACAATACCCCAAATTAAAAAGTTATAGGTCTTTGAAGTTACATAAAAAAAGCATGAAACGACCCGATAATTCTGACCTGGTCCTCATTGTGGCCTGCCCCCTTTTCAAGCTCTTGGGTCGCCCGGACTGGGAAGCTGTTTGGCGCAGTAGGTAGTGCCGTAGAGTGCAAAACTTTTTAAATTTTTGTAATCGAGTTCAAGTCTTTGATGCGTCCAACTTTTTGCTTTTTGGATTTTACGCCAACTAACCCTAATTTGCAAGAGCAAAAAGCAAAAAGCAAAAAGATAGAAAAGTTTTAGTCTCGAACTTTTGCCAAAAATTTTTCAAAAGATTGTGAGTCAAGCGCACTACCGATTGCGCTAGAAGAGACGTGGGGAGCGGAGACGAGAGAGGGTCAAGAAATCACGCATGAAGAGAATGTGGAAATGGTGCGGTATTGGTGCAAAAGCCTGCGCAGAACTCATTTTTCAGACCACAAACTTAAAATGCTTATAACTTTTTAATTATGGGTATTGTGCAGAAAACGACTTAGCGCACCTTGTTTCGTTTTCAATTTTCTATCCACTGGCCAATTTTCAGAAAGATTTGACACCTGACCCAAACAACCTTCCCTTGTAAGTATAAGCCTAGCTTAAGTCTAAGCCTAAGCCTAAGTCTAACCTAAGCTTAAGCCCGAGCCTAATTTTAAGTCGATGCTTAAATCATATCTCTGAATCCTCCTTAATTTCAGGTCTTCTCCCCACGCTCGTTTCCGGCGTCAATACGGCTGGGGTGGAATGGGTGGATGGCCAGGCGGTGGTGGCTGGGGATATCCAGGCGGAATGGGAGGTGGATGGGGAGGCGGAATGGGCGGAGGTGGATTCCCTGGCTTCAGCGCGTCCTCCTCCAACTCGTGGGGCAGCTACAAGATGATGAAGCAGGGCGGTTTCAACAACCAACAACAATCCTTTTTCTTCGGGTAATCGACATTGCCTTTGTTCATTTTCACCACGCCAGCGGTGATGATCTCTTAATGCCGATTGATTAGTGTCGAATAAATATTGGTGAATTTATTAAAAAGCAGGGTATATCGAAGTGTTCTTATATAAATTTTTCGAATTGGTATCATAATGTCGAAAATCATAATGTCGAAATGTCATAATGTCGAAATTTCATAATGTCGAAATTTACATAGGCTAATATTACCGGTGAAACCGCCAAATTCTAGCCAAAAAAATTTTTTCACATTTTATTTTTTTATCTTATTTCACGACAACATTTTTTGTCTAGGATTCGGGGACTTTACCGAGAATTTTTGCTTATGTAATTTTCGACTTTCTGACATTTCGACATTCTGACATTTCGACATTATGAAATTTCGACATTATGAAATTTCGCCATTATGACATTTCGACATTGTGAAATTTCGACATTATGAAATTTCAACATTATAAATTTCGACATTATGACTTTCGACATTATGAATTTCGACATTTTGAAAATAAGCCAAATTTTTCGTATTAACGGCTCAATTCGGGCGCTCGCAGTAGAAGCCGTGCGACATGTGGGCGCAGCGGACGCCCGGCGGACAATCGTGGTTGAATTTGCACTGGAAATGGATCGGCGCATTAATGTAGAGACTTTAGAGACCATGCCCATCTATTTTTACTTGCATTTAAAGCAATATATAGCAGCATGGCTGTTCTTAAATTGGATCTTCCTCGAGGGAATAATACTTAAATATCGAGAAATATACACAAAAATTAAAACCTAAGTTTTCAAGCAATATTTGATGTCTCTAAGCTTAATTGACACCCACCGTCGGCCCATGATCGAATGGCCCGGCTTCGGCAAGAAAAATCAGAAGCGCCATTAGTGCGCAAATCACCAGCAGTCGTGTGGTCATACTGTAAAATGGATTGAATTTCATAAAAACTAGACAGCAAAAAAGTTAAATTCAAGGTGCTTAGCGTCATCTAAGCCTGAGCCTAAGCCTAAAAGCTAGGAGTAAACCTAAGACTATTCCTAAGTCTAGGCGTAAGCCGAAGCCTAAGCTTAAGCCTTATCCCAAGCCTAAGCCTATGCCTAAGCCTAAGCCTCGCCTGGATAGACAAAATCGCAAAATGTCTAGAATTGGTCGAAAAATGGACTTCTTGATACGAAATGCAAGCCGCCGCTTTTCTCGAGCTCCCGGATCCGCCTCCCTCAAAAATGGCCTTCGGGGCCAGGGGGTTGGATTGGATTTCGACTGCTGCCGGAATAATATGCTTGAAGAGGGGGCCTGAAGGCATCTCTCAATAGCCCATTTACGAGCTGTACGAGTTTATACTCTCGACGCGGCCAAAAAGCAATTTGCTCCTCGATTTTTTTTGCGCTCTTGACTGTAGCGGTTGGTAATAGAAGAATTTGCGATTGTTTCATTGCTATGCTAGGTATATAGAAGTATTTTATGCATACAAAAAGAACGGAAAAACAGAAAACTTAATCAAATGCATATCATGCGCGAATCAACGGAAAATAGATGTGCTATTGGCTAGCGAGATCAAAGAGGAAGGGCGTTTTTAATTAATAAATGTAAAAATAGTAATAGATTATACAAAATATAGTAATCAATTAAAGCTGGCCAAAAAAGACATAAACCTTGAAAAAGAGAAAACCGGAAATGTTGTGATAGAAATTCGTTGCTAGCGATCGGAAGGACAAACAAATACAAATAAATAGAATCCAATGTTTTTCGAAAATCTTTACATGGTGGACTGGCTATGGAGACGCTTTTCTCCTGCTAACGCTGCCAGAACCGGCAATAGATCCCCCCGAACGACTTTAATTTTAATTCTTTAATTTCCCTGGTGCATGGGAGGGGTGACGGCAGTTGCCGACGGGGTCGACGAGTACGATAATTGTGTGCTGAGCAACTGGGGAGGCTTCAACGGTTCGAGGCCGCCAGGGAGCAGCAGGGGCTCGAGACTCCCAAATCCGAAATTTTGGAGTGGCGTCGTTCGGGTATCTTGATAGCCGAAGGCTCGGTAGAGGTCGCTCGGGAAGTTCGGCTAAAAACAGATAATGTGAGAGGGTAGATACCAATAGCTGTTAAAAAACCCGAGCTGAGGAAGCAAAGGGCTTACCAATTTGAGCCAGGCCTTTGCCTAAGCCTAACCGTAGTGTTTTTACTCAGGCTGGCGTTTTAGGATGGGACCAAGCCTATCTTGTTCAGAATTTTTTGCTGATTCCGAATCCGTTTTCCAAATTTGCTGCGGACTTCGCGTTGAAAAGTGATTTTTGGTCTAAATTAAGCTTAAAAACAGCATAAATTCGGATGCTGGCCCACTATTCCCTGTCTGGCTCCAGGTAGTGTTGTGCCCCTTATCTACCCGCCCGAAGCCCCCTTGCCAGTTGGCACCATGGTGCATTGGCAAGCTGTTCGCTCGCCAGGCACAGGGCGGCGGTTCGATCCCCGCCCTGCACAATTTTGTTTTGCTTTTTGCACAAAACCACATGATTTTTTGCATAAAATCGGGCTTTGACCTCTAAAACCATTACCGAGCCGGTTTTAACGTCGGAGGTGACGACAACTCAAAAAATAACGCAAAAAATCCAGATTTAGTAAATTTTTTTTAGCCTAAATGTCAAATAACTTTTTAAATAAAGGTCGGCAGCAAATTTGGAAACCAGATTCTGAATCAGCGAAAAATTCTGCACAAGATAGGCTTGGTCCCATTCTAAAAAGCCAGCCTGAGTAAAAACACTTTACAGTAAGCCGAAGCCGAAGCCTAAGCCTAAGCCTAATCCTAAGCATGCGCCTAAGCCTAAGCCGAAGCCTAAGCCTAAGCCTAAGCATGCGCCTAAACCCAAGCCGAAGCCTAAGCCTGATAAGCCTAGGCCTAAGTCTAACAAAGCCGAAATCCTCCTTTTAACAAACCTCATTCGTCTTCGGCGTGCCGGCCGTCAAACTGCCAAAGTCGCATAGCCCGACCTGGATCTGTCCCAGATTGATCGGATGCAGCCCATTCAGATGATTATACGGGAAAGCCGTCAGATCCGGGATTTGGGGAAGGAAGCTGCAAATGTTGGTATCATTCTCGCCGCTCGAAATTTATCGGGTAAATTGTAAAATATTAAAAACTCACTCGTTTTGGCGTGATACGGGGAATGACGGTAGTGGCGGCAGCGGGAGTGGGGTATGGGACAGTGATGTCGGGGTTGAGACCTAAAAGATGTAGTATATTTTAGTTCAGCTAGTTTAGTAGAGGTATTATATTTTGGCTCAACGTATTTCTATCATATTTCACACTACCACCTACCGTAGACGCAAAAATAGCTTCCGGACTGGTAATGGCCGGGATGGAGATGGGCTGAAGGGTCGGAGGAGGTGGGAGAGGCGGAAGTGAAGCCGAGATTGAGGATGATGGTAAGGAGGTCGAGGTTGATGATGTTGGTACAGATGATGGGGGAAGGACGATTGGCATTGGGAGGTTGGCAGATGTTGGAGGGGACGGCTTCAGCCTGGGTGGGGAGGGAATGTCGCTGGATCGTGAGTGTTGCACTCCGGCTGCTGCCGCGGATTCACTGAAAAAAATAAGTAAGGCCTGAGCCTCGAGAGCTTTGGAAACGATATATCTTAAAACCATACTTGACACGACTGGTCTTCTTGTCTTTTGCACGTCGATTTTGGAACCAAGTTTTCACCTGAAAAATTGGTATTTTACTGATCTTGCTTGCAATTTCTGACACTCTTGCTCGTTCTCACGTTCGTTCTCTCCTTCTCTTTTTCGCTCTTGCTCACTCGTTCTGATTTTTGCCTTCTTTTCCCTGATCTCTCTGGCACTCTCTCTATCTCTCTCTCTCTCTATCTCTCTATCTATCTATCTCGCTCTCACCTGACTTTCCGTAAGTCGCAAAGAATCCGCAACGGCCAATCTCCTCGACCTCGGCATGTATTGGTCTTGGTTGTACTCCTGCAATTTCCATATTTTCTTTCAGCCCCGGTCTGCGTGTTTTTCCCTGAATTTTCTTGCCATCCCTATTTTTCGCGCTCGTTCCACCGCACTACTGCTGCCACTATCCGATGGCGAATGCCGGCAGCCCCCAATCACCGAGCCGCTTCTAATTTACTTTTTTTTTGGAAAAAGGCGAGTGGGGGAAGTGACACCCGTTCCATTCCCCCGCTGCTGGCAGGCATCTAATTGAAAATGTGGCCCATCAGCGGCCAACTCTTCCCCCCACGCTATAGCAAACAGAATGAAGAAGTACGATCGGTAGGGTGGGGAGGAGGAGAAGAACTATGGCATTATAAGGGGGGAGATACTGGGCTTGAATTAAGATCTTTTCTAGTTTTTCTATAGCTCTTTCGATTTTCCCCCAAGGTGTCGCTTTCTCTCTCTCTCTCTCTCTCTCTCGCACTCTCTCTGCGGTTTTGATGTGTTTCTCGTACTCTTGCCCAAATTCTATCTCTCGCACTCGCCCATTCTCGCTGCGTCGATCTCGCTTTTTGTCCCGTCTCTCTGTCTCTCTCTCTCTCTCTCTCTCTCTCTCTCTCTCTCTCTTTCTGTCTCTGTCGCTTATCTCTGTCGCTTATCTCTGTCCCTCTCCTTAATCGCAAAATTCAAAAAATCCAAAATGGATTCAAAAGGACGATAAAACCAACCACTTTGGCGAATTCCCAACTATCTCTCCCCATTTTTGAGAATCCTCATCCTCCCCCATATCCAAATTGGCTTTATTAGTATGGAGTCACATTTTTCCGCTCGCCTCCCCCGACAAATTGGGGGGCAGGGTGTCATGAGCAGCGTATTGCTCTTCCACTCCCTAAAATGAGCCCCTCCTTCTATTAGTGGCATATATCTATTAGTGGTGTAGAATGTGAAGAGAAGGTAGATGACAACCCGCCATGACGGGGCTACATATCCATACACACAACGCTAATTGGATTCCCGCGGAAAAAAGGGGCGACGAGACCCGTGACTTTTTAAGGGCAATGTTGCCGCCTACAGCTCAAATTTACCGGAGAGCAGCAACATTTTTGAGGATAGATGGGATTAAAGGGAAGGGCAAGCTAGCGGAGATTTTTGGGAAATTTTGGCTTCGACGTGGCTTCTGCTGGGGTAAGCTAGCCGAGGCAAAGGGCTGGCATACTAGCAGAGATGCTTAGGGAGTTTGCCCGAGTTTTGAGGCCTTTGGGGGACGATTTTGAGCTGAGTGCAAGCTAGCAGAGATTCTTAAGAAAACGGTAAGCAAGCTAGCAGAGATTGCTAGGGAGCCAGACTTTCGAAAGGCAATTATGGAGACCTGGGCAAGCAAGCAGAGTTTATTAGGGAATTTTGTTTGATTTTGGATCCTTTAGGGCTACTTTATTTGTTTCTCAAAACCAAAAACTTAGGGCATGCTAGCAGAGACTCTTGGGGAAAGGCCAGCCAAGCTAGCAGAATTTATTGCGGAATTTAGAATTTCACCGAAGCCATTCCCGAAGCGCTTATTTCGTGTATATGCGGAAATCTGGGTTCCCCCGGATTTCTCGAGTGAAATCTGGCCCCTATTCGGGCCGTAAATCGGAAATGCGGTGCACGAGGCGGTTGAGTGGGCATTTCACGGTGGGGGACTAATATCATTGCATTTCCTTTTCCCCTTCTCTCACTTCAAATTCCTTTTTTGAGGAAATCTTATAGGACCAAGGAGAAGAGCGATATTGCGCGGGTTGACGAAATGGGTAAATGATGATGGAGTGCTTGCGTAAATTTCCGAAAAACTTCGCGCGTCTGTGCGCGACATGCAGCGCAAGAGCTACTGGCGCGCAACGTGAGACCTGGCGACGCAGAACGAGAGATCAGGCGAAATTGAACGCGATAGACTGTGTGCCGCGCATTGCGAAGGCGGAAAAATCCACGCATAAGTATATAATCGAGATAATCCACGTAGCTCCCCTATAAGTCTTTTTAACCCCTCTACCTTCCAGCCCCTTTAAACTATCCAACTCACCCCCACTTCCCCTAAAAAGTGGACTTTTCCGGGGCTGGTGCCCCCCCGCGGGGCCACAAAGGCACATTTAGCCAGAAGCCGCCGCAATTGCAATGCTTTCAGCGAATGCAACCCCCGCACCGGCGAGAGAATGGGCATTTGGGAGAGGGGCGAGAGATAAAGAGCGAAAAAAGAAAACAACCCATGTATTGCCGCCGGCCATTTGGAGACCCTCGACGGGAAGGAGAAGAAGCACAAGAAGGGCATTGGCCCCAAATACAATTAGGACCCGGGCCAGAATTGGGGGCCATTCTTTTGCGTTTTTTGGGGGGCTTTCTGGAGTTTTCTGTGGATGTTTTTAAGATGGGAACAGTGGGAATGGAGGTCAAAATAATGGATGAGGGCCTAAGCATAAGACTAAGCCAACGCCTAAGCCTGAGCCTAAGCCCAACCCAGAGCATAAGCACAAGCCTAAGACTATGTCTAAGCCTAAGTCTAAACCTAAAATTAAACCTAAGCCTAAGCCTACGCATAAACCTACTAATAACAAATCTGAAAAAACGTAAAAACTGACCATCTCGAGCTTGACCTGCTGCGCGTTAGTGAAGGTCGTCCGTTTCCGCTTATTCTTGGTACCCTCATCCGCGGAAGCGGACACGGGAGTCGCAGCCGAAAGAGGCGCAGCCAGCGGAGCGGCAGGTTGAGGTGGCGGAGGTTGAGAGGTGGACGGGACCGGGGGGGCTAGCGTCTGGAAATGATGGTCAAGGTTGATTTTCCTCACGAATCTCTGCTAGTCTTCCAAAAAAAGCCTTACCACCGGAACAGGTGGCTGTCCGCCCAGTAGCTGCTCAATCGACGCCAAGGTGGTCGGGATCGGCGGCAGTTGGGAGGAGAGGCCAAACTAAGGTTCAGGTTTTTCAAGCGACGTGAATTTAAGGTGATACCTGCTGTAGGATATTCGAGGCCGCGTTCTGCATGGTTTCTTGAAGATCGCCGAGGCCAGGCAGGGTCAGGGATTGGGCGTCAAGCTGGCTCTGCAGAAAGGTATCATTAGGCTGCTTTAGGCTTATGCTTCGGCTTAGGTTTAGACTCAGGCTGAAGCGAAAAGCAATAAACCATAAACTCTCACCTTCAAGTTAGCGAGCAGGCTCAACTGCGCGATGAGGTCCATCGGGTTCTCCGGCGACTCGCTGACCGACTGGAAAAGAACAATTTCTCCTTCTCTTTCTCTAGTTATCCTCCCTCTCGCCCTAGACTACTGATAAAATTGCCCAAATAAGCGACCGTCGATACGACAATGTTGAGCATCTGGGCCCACAACGCTTATTAGGGCAATTTTTCGCGGTTGGACACTTGCCAAGTGGCCAAAAAATGGGTGCAAACGAAAGGGGGGAAACGGACCTTTTGTGGTGCATCGGCTGCTGGGTCGACGAGGGTCCCCTCACGATAGTATGGCTTGAATGCACTGTTCCCGAGGGTGATCATCCCGGGGTACGGTAGCCTGAAATGGATGTGTTTTAACGTGGAAACTTGGAAAATTGTTGAGAAATGCATGAGTTAAAGATTCACAAATACTTATAAATCATGATATTTTAAATAGAGGTATAATGTATATTTTAAGTTGGGTTACGGTATACACGACCAAAGCAACTTTAGTGAACTACTTACGCCTACAGTAGCCTAGCTAAGAAAGTAGGTTTTAGGTTTATAACGCAGAAAGTTTTTAAATCATGTTAATTTGAATCGACGTTTGTATCATAAGTTACGGTACCCAAATTACAGCTCCAATTCCGATGTAATACCAACCCCATCCAACTAGCACTTTTTCCCGCGACACTCCAAAAGTCAGCGCACACATATGCTTGTGGGGGCGGTGGTCGGGGGATAATAGGCAAAAGGAGCGGAAATGGCCGCTCCGCGAGTGGCCACCGCCAAAAGTAATGAAAATTGGCCCATTTACGGGCTTAAGGGCCCAAGAGGGGGGCAGGGGCCCGTAAACGGGACCCCCCACGTCCCGACAAAGCCAATCAACCAGAAATGAAGCCAGTAAGAGTGAAGTGAGAGAGAAAGAGAGAGCAGCGAAAAACAAAACGGGCCCTCGCCACAGAATACTCTGTAATAAGCCATAAATGGCCCTAAATGCCGATCTGAAAGCAATTTAATTTTTTGAGCAATAAGGGGCGCTACGAGGGTTACGGTAGATTTTCTGGAATACCGGCTGGGCCTTAGTCGGCTAGATCGAAAAGCCTAAATATGTCGAAATCTCAACCCAGGCTAGACCGCTCTACAAACAACCTTGCCCGTCCCTTTAAAAACCAAAAACCGCGCAATACCGCCGCGGGCGCAACCAGGAACTGCCTTAGCCGCGTCGTGTATATACATGGGGCCATGGAACACAGAGCAAAACGCCTTTTCAGGCCATCATTAGCCCCCATTTCGCATTTTCGGGGGGTAGGACACGAATACATTGGCCACAAGCTAATTAGCATCGCACACAGAGGCGGCCAGGGCCGACTAAAGAGGTTGGGCTCCAAAAAGAACAGAAAAATGTAGAGAATGGTGATTTTGGGCACGGTAAGATGTTAAAGAGGAATCAGCAAGAGGTATCGAAAACGTAGCCCTAAGCGAGTGAAGCCAAACCTAAGCTGAAACACAAGGCCCACTCCTACGCCTGACAAGCCTAAGCGAAACTTAAGCCTAATCTAAGCACAATTAAGCCTAAGTCGAGAGCAATCCTAAGCCTAAGCATGACCCAAGTCTTCACCTAAGTCTATGCCTAAGACAAGCCTAAGCCTCAATCAAGCCTAAGACTAACAAGGAGTCGTTTTTAGGTGATATTGGAGTTTTTGAACGAGACCTAGCTAGTTCGATAGAGAAAAAAATTCTGAACAAGATGTCGGTTTCCAAATCTGCTAACCGTGTATTGTATTCGATAAAAATTAATTTTAATGAAAAAATTCCTGGACGTCAGGCTGCGACCCATGGATCAGGCCCGGGACATAGCCCACAGCGCGAACCAGCATCCGCATGAGATCGTGGCCTAGTGGATAGTGTCGGCGCCTATCAAACTTTTGCAAAATTATGCCCAGGGTTCGGAACTTTTTGCGATTTATTGTTTTGCTTTTTGGTTTTTCATGCCATTGAAATCGAATTTGGCATTATCGAGCAAAAAGCAAAAGAGTTTTACTAGCGAGGAGTCGAACCCGCTGGCAAAAAAAAACAAAAACTTATGAAGCAAGCGCACTACCAATAGGCCAGCTGGTCATGGCTGGAGGGAGACCTAAAGGGGGCTATGTTGACGCGCACCCAGAGCGCCGAATCTGTGGATCAGGCGGAAAATGATGGTTAGATTAATGATTTTCAAATTAATTTTTATCGAATACAATACACGGTTAGCAGATTTGGAAAACGACATCTTGTTCAGATTTTTTTTCTCTATCGAACTAGCTAGGTCTCGTTCATAAACTCCGGTAAATACTTGCTGTGCCGATTTTCGCTGTGCCGATTTACAGTGTGCCGATTATTGGTATGCCGAATTTTCGCTATGCCGAATTTCACGATGCCGAATTTTCACTATGCCGAATTTTCACGATGCCGAATTTTCACTATGCCGAATTTCGCTATACCGAATTTTCACTATACCGAATTTTCGCTATACCGAATTTCGCTATGCCGAATTTTTTCTACTCTACTACTAATAGTCTCTACTAATGTTAATAACTAAGATCGACTGGGACTTAGCGGTGCAACAAAAAAAATCTGCTGCGCCTACGGGAACTACGATCTGCCCGAGTTTTTGGAAATGTCTAGGCTAACTCTAACTTTCTAGGCCCATGATATTTGGAAAAAAACAGTAAAAAAAAATGGGGAACAGACCGCTTATCAAATTTAGTATGACGAAGATTCGGCATGGTGAAAATTCGGTATCGTGAAAATCGGCATGGTGAAAATTCGGCATCGTGAAAATTCGGCATAGTGAAAATTCGGCATAGTGAAAATTCGGCATAGTGGAATTCGGCATAGCGAAAATTCGGCATAGTGAAAATTCGGCATAGCGGAAATCGGCACAGCGTCAATCGGCATAGCAAAATTCGGCATAGCGAATGGAACTCATAAACTCCAATATCACCTAAAAACGACTCCTTGTAAGCCTAAGCCAAGCCCATACCTTTAGAATACAGAAAACAATTAAACTACTCATAGAAACGTTCAGTTTATCGCCGCCAGCACATTTTGTGGTGCCCTAGTCAACTGCTCAGCCCCGGGGGGCAATTTCCCGGAAAAATTCCCCCGCCTTCCCAGCCCATTTTTGGCCGCTGTCGAGAGGGGCCGAGTGGAATGGGATGCAGAATAGAATAGAAGAAAAGGTGAGGGAGGAATTAAGCGACTCGCGCCCGGCGAGAGCTGACGGGATTAAGTGGCTACTTCTGACGGCCACACCACCGGGGTTATTTTTGACGTGAGAGAGCAGAGATGTTCATAACCAGGAACTGAATAAACATTTGTCGTTCTGGGAGGGATTCCTCAATGGGCTTTGCTAGCTTGCCCCAAACATCCATCCATGGACCATCATTCCGTGCTAGTCGCTTTTTTAAAATTCCCCTAAACCCTCGCTGCTGGATTCCCTTAAGAAATTCTCTAAAAACCTCTGCTAGCTTGCTCTTGAGCCGATCGATAACTCCCCAAGAATCTCTGCTAGATCACCCTTCTCCGGTCGGTCAACCGCTTGCCAGCCAAAATATCCGCAGGACCCGAAATACCACAGTAATTACGCCCAAAATATGGCCCACCGTAATTTCGTATGCAACGGGCGTTCAGAAAAACTGAAACGAGCCACAAAGAAACGGGGAGACGGGGGGAAGGGGAGGGCCCTCCTCCACGGAATTAGGGTCCTTAGGGCCCACCTGATTGGGCCATTCTAAAGGGGATGGGAATGGAGAGAGAGAGAGAGAGAGAGAGAGAGAGAGCGAGAGAGAGAGAGACCCCCCTCGAGTCTGGGCCCTAATGAGGAAACCCTAAGGCTTCTTCTCCTTTGAAATACTAAAGAAGTAGGATTACACCCCCGAAGAGTCTCTTTGTCGAGTCTTTCCTTTCCTCTTTGCCGTTCCCGGACACCTCATCTTCTTGGCGTCGTTCCAACGATAAATGAATTCTATGTAGAAGGTCCTGCATAATGTTCTGCTCGAAGCACTAATAAAAAATTCTACAACGCCAGTAGGCTAGCAGAGAATCTTTGCGTGGGGCTGTGAAAAAATTTAGGAAGCTCACCTAGCTTCTAAAATTTTTTGTTAGGCATTAGCAGACAAAAAAGAACACTAGCAGAAATCCTTTGAGGAAATAGTCCAGGGAGGCTAGCAGAGATTCTTTAGGAAACCGTGGCATACTTATGAAAGGAGCTGGGCGGCTTTTAAAAAGGGTGCTGCCAAGGTTCCGGCGGTGGTGAATGTGGCAGCGGTGGTTAGCAAGGGGGAAGGGGAGGGATGTCTGTTTGTGTGTTTGTCGGTGTCTCTGTCCATGTGTGTGTGTGTGTGTGTGAAGGCGGTCCTAATTGAGTCTTGGGGGCCCTAGAAGGGGCTCCTTTCAAGGGACGGGCTCTGGATGGCCTTCCTTTAGATTCCGTCACCATCCAATCCACACATACAAAAAGATAAATAGACAGATATATCATAGATGTACACATATCATATATTCAAAGTTGCGTCAAGGATTGGGAGCTTTAAAGGGATGTGAAAGGCAAGCGTTTGCTGTTGTTGACCTTTCCTAAGGAATATGGTAAGGTTTCTCTTTGCAACAATCCGGGCCGTAATCGTCTTTAAAAGGCAACTTTTTTAGGCTTAGGCTTACAAGGAGATGGTCTCAGCTGGGAATCGAATTCGGATTCGAAAATTTGCACACTTATAGAGCTCGACGAGACAAATCGATTGGTGTAACTTTCAGCTGCTGATACAATAACCACGCCGAGTTATAAGCATTTTAAGTTTTTGCATACATTTTCCATTTTTTGGCCATAGCCTCATAGGCCTTCCCCGCCTCCCCATCACCATGGTCTGGTGGTCTAGTGGTATAGTAGGCGGCGTCCGGGGATACTAACGACGGTTCGAACCCGCCCACTATTTTTATTTTTTGCTTTTTTGTCCGGACCTTGCAAAAAGGTTCCTCTTTGCTTTCTGAAGACCTTGAATAGCTTTTTACACATTATTTTAACTCCTCTGGTGCGAAATGGCTAGAAAACACCTCTTTGAAAAAATTTAGATTTTTTGCTCGAACAGACTATGATCCCAAAATAAATTGAAAATTCAAAGCATATAAAAAATCGTGGAGTAAACGTAAATTTGGTAAATGGTGTGTTATCCGAACAAAAACTTTCATCCGCGAAATTTTTTTCGAAATGGTAGTCATAGGTCGGACAAGGGCTCGATGCCCAGCAAGAAAAATTTTTTGCGGTGGAGTTCGATGTTGTCGGCGCATCAGAGGAGTTAAAATAA